AAAGTAGTTTTCCTCCCCCAATTTAGAGTTGATCAGTTTAAAGATAGAAGGGTGGCTGATTGGCCCGCATCTGTTGTGGAAACACGCCCAGTCCCAACTATGAACTTGTTGAGCCAGTCCATCGGCATGGGCTGGCTGGCTGGAGACAGAGCTCTACAAAGCCTTTGTTTTCAGGGGTTTTGTCTCAGCCTGAGAGGCTGAGGAAGCAGCCAGGCCACCTTGGAAGTTGGTCATCTTTATCACCTAGTCATGGTCCATCTCCCTGTCCATCTGCCTCTCTGGGAGTCTCAGGACCTTACTCATGCCTGCAAAGTGCTCTACCACCAGGCCACCTTCCCAGCTTCAGCCCTGGCTCTTCAATCCAGTAGTCTTGCTGGTTTGACAAAGTTTTTAGTGTTTGCATTTGTAAGTTTCCCTAAGATGAAACTGGCAGTTCATTTCAGGGTGAGTGCAAAAGCAAAATAAGCACAGCCAAGAAGTAACAGAGGGAGCAGGTGTCTTACTTCTGCAGCAGAATGCTTGAGCTGGGAGCAGGGTGTGTGTGTGTGTGTGCGCGTGTGTGTGTGTGTGTGTGTGTTGCTTCCAACCATAATGCCCACCTTTTACAAAGAAATCATGGGGATTTTCTTCAGGGGCCTGTATATAGTCATGTCTATTTCTAAGCACACTCAACCAAGGAGTTCATTCCTGAACAAATTCAATTTTAAGACGACAGTAGACATATTTTTAGATATTAGTAGCCTAAGGTCCTGGAACAAACAAAAAGTGGGACCTGAACCTGTCTCTCCTTCTTGTAGTTTTCCAGTTGCTTCCTCTAAGGCAATCTTTTTAACCCATAAAATAGGATTTTGAGATTCTGTAATGAGACAAAACTAGGTTCCATCAAGAAAGAAAATTATTTTCTTATTTAATTTTTGAGACACGGTCTCACGAGGAGCCTATTTTGCAGCTAAGGCTGGTGTTGAACATCCTCTTTCTACCTGCAGTGTTGAGATTACAGGTTGGTTCCACCATGTCCAGCTCTTACAACCAATTTGTTGATGGATTTATACATGCTACCAGCTATATGCTTTCAACTACACCAAATGATTTGGACTATAGGAAGGATTAGTATATCTGTAATAGATATGTGGAAAATTAGGGTTGCAGACAATGAAACAAAATCAAAGTCATACAGTCAGCTTCACTGTTAGGTACTCTTAGGAATGATTTTAAAAGCCAGCCAGCCCGTGCTGATGGACTGGCTCAACAAGTCCACACTGCATACCCTGGACAAGCAAGCAGAGGTGCTTATTTATCATATCAAAGCGGACCTAGCCTCCAGGTTCTCCCAGCATCCCTCAGTCCCTACCATTACAAGGTATGTCTGGCGTACCCCCTCCCCCTCTCTATCCTGAACGTTACAGCCTAGGGGCTGGGCTCCCTTTTCCCCCAAGAGGCTCCTCCCTATTTAATGCAGACATTTTGGTTACCTGCCTCTCTGCCTCAGTTTTGCGCCTTCTGTACCTTTGGCCTCCTGGTTGCTGTACTTGGTTCCCCTCTCTACTTCTCCAAATCCTCTCCCTACATGGTTTCAGGGTCATGAACACTCTAGAATCGCCCAGATATGTCTGCCCTTCCACCATATGTGTAGGAGCAGTCATGTCTTTCCCTTTCATTCTTTTTTTTTTTTCATTCGTGTGTGTGTTTCTTGTACTTTTTTTTCACTGTATTTGTTTTTTTATTTTTTATTTTTTGGTTTTTCAAGACAGAGTTTCTCTGTGTAGCCCTGGTTGTCCTGGAACTCACTCTGTAGACCAGGCTGGCCTCGAACTCAGAAATCCACCTGCCTCTGCCTCCCAAGTGCTGGGATTAAAGGCGTGCACCACCACTGCCCGGCGGCAGACAGATTTCTAAGTTTGAAACCAGTTTGATCTATAGATCAAATTCCAGAACAGCCAGGGCTATACAGATAGACCCTGACTCGACAAAACAAAACACCAAAAAACAAGCTTGCTACTTTATGTTTTTCCTGCATGTATGCCTGAGTATAGCAAGTGTGCCTGATGTTCTCAGAAGCGAGAAGATGTCATTGCATCTCTGAAATTGCACGTATAGATGGTTGTGAGCCACCATGTGGATGCTGGAATTGAACCTGAGCCCTCTGTAAAAGCAGCAAGCCCTCCTAACCACTGAGCACTTCATCTCCAGCCCCTTACCTTTCTCCTCATCTTTTTCCTGTTTGTTTTGTACAGAGAGAGGTTTAAAGTTGGATAGGTGGTGAGGTAGGGATGATCTGGGAGGGAAAATGTGATCAAAATATATTGTATGAACTTTAAACAGAAAAGAGTACCATATAGACAAGATATTTCCTATAGAGTATATACAGTATATAGGAATGAGTTAAAATACTATCAAAACAGTGACATTGGGAATTTGAGCATGCTCCATTCTATTACATGTGCTTTTCCCTCCCAGGAAATCTAAAGTTAACATTCATTTTCTTTCCCTGCTTCCACTTCCATTGTACTCCATGTTAAGAAGCAAAGAGAATAGGGCTATAAATGCCTGTATCTTGGTAGAGGAATCAAGTATTCTAGAAACCCTCCCCCTAAGACAGGTCATGCCTGTAGTCAGGGTTGGCCTTGAATTCTCCATTCTCCCTCAGCCTCACATGCTGACAGGAAGAGGTTCTCCAAACCTATGGATTCTCATCATCCCGTCTCCTACCCTCACAGCCACTATTAAGGTGAAGTTTAACGCTTCATCACATACCATGCTTTGCTTCTCCAGTTTCTTTTTGAATCATCATTTTGATAGCTATTTGAAATTAGTTGACAATAAAACTTTTTTTTGACAATAAAACTCTTGACATCTGCAAAATACCTAACATAGTACTACTAGAAAAATCATAAACTTTAAAATCTCAATTGACTTTTACTTGAAATCTGTGAAATCTGCAATGTCTCATTCCATAAAGTAAACCCATGTTGTGAGTAGAAGCGTTTGACCTCATACACAGAAGGGGTTGAGAGAGCAGAATTAAAACAAGGAGGATATCAGTCTGCTGAGACATTTTCCCTGTTAAGGTTAAAGTGCAGGAGACTTCCCTATACTGGCTAAAAACTGGGTTATAAGACAATTTGGCTATTTCTCACTTTTCCTCCTGATTTTCACTAAGAACAGATAACTTGATTTCAAGTTTGGTGGCATAGGACTTTGGAGGTCTCCATGTTAGTCTAGTCTGGTGTGCCAGGTAGCAATGTCTCTACTTAACATTGCCAAGGAGATGAAGATGATGAACTGCAGAAGAAACCCAACTAGTGGCTTTTTTGTTTGGTTTGTTTTTGTTTTTTCAAGACAAGGTTTCACTGTGTATTTCTGGCTGTTCAAGAACTCTGAAGACCAGACTGGTCAGGTACTCAAGAGACCTACCTGCCTCTGCCACTGGAGTACTGGTATATGTCTGCCACCACTGCCTGGCTAGAGTCTTCCTTTAAAATATTTTTTTTTTCAATTTTATTTTTCTTTTGTGCATGTTTTGCCTACATGGATGCCTGTGAATCACATATGTTCAGTGTTCAAGGAGGCCAGAAGAGGAAGTTAGATCCTCTAGAACTGGAGTTTCGGATGACTGTGAGCTGACACGTGGGTGCTAAGAACTGAATCTGGGTCCTTTGGAAGAGCAGCTAGTGCTCATAACCACCAGGCCGTCTCCAAGCCCCCTAACTAGTGTCTTAAATGTCATCTGTTTATAATTAGACTGTGTTTAAGGGTTTTAACAGATTGGAACTTTTTCTCAAAGTTAACTGAAGATGCATAATATACTCTGGATTTTCCTTCTCTTTTCCACAAACTTTCATTCCTATTTCATGTGGATTTATCTAGGAATTAAGGGCCCATTCAAGAATACACATTTATACTGCTGGAGAGGTGGCTTAGTGGTTAAGGGCACTGGCTGCTGTTCTATGGGTCCTGAGTTCAACTCCCAGCAACCATATAGTGACTTCCAGGTGATCTGATGCCTCCTTCTGGCATGTAGGTGTACATGCAGATACACTCATATACATAAAATTAAATAAATCTCGAAAAAATACACATTTATTGTTTCCGCAATGAGTGCAAAAATATCAAATTAGTGGCTTTGATGGAATGCACAGGTACATGCTTTTACATTAATCTTCCTCAAATCTAGCATTCTCCCTTTCCTTTTCCTTAAAAAGATATTACAGAAGACTGCGCCTGTCACTTTGTTTAAAATGAAAATTCAAACTCCACAGCGGCTCAGACTGACCTTTGAACATGAGATCCCCCTGCCTCGGTCTCCCCGAGTACATACTTTACAGATTGAGATTGTGGGGCAGGCAAACGGATCTCAGAGTCCGAGGCCACCCTGGTCTAATTCTAGAGCTAGTTTCGGGACAGCCAAGGCTACCGGAAAAACAAAACAAAAAAACCCCCAAAACCCTCCAAAACCAAAAACCTGGGCCGGGCAGTGGTGGCGCACGCCTTTGATCCCAGCACTTGGGAGGCAGAGATAGGCGGATTTCTGAGTTCGAGGCCAGCCTGGTCTACAGAGTGAGTTCCAGGACAGCCAGGGCTACACAGAGAAACCCTGTCTCGAAAAACCAAAACAACAAACAAACAAACAAACAAACAAAAAACAACTGTACGGAAGAAAAATCTCTGCGAAAAGAGCGACAAGAAACGGAGTTCATACTGCGAGGCCGCTTTGGAGGTTACCGGAGACCACCGCCCATTGCTTTCGTCACAATCCGCCGCCGCGCCCGCCCGGGTTGCCATAGGGGCCGAGCAGGCCACCACCGCCCCCTCCTTGCCGTGGGCAGTGACCCGCGGGCCGGCTGTGAGCCGCGCAATGCCGCGGGACTGCGGCTCCGGGGGTGGGGGCTTCACGGTGCTCCACGAGCCTCACTCGGGCCTAGTCCCATGAGGCCTCTGCACCCCGGGACTGAAACCAGGAGAAGGCGGAGGAGCACCGCTTTGCCGGCCCGCGACGAAGACGGAGCGTCGGGCGCGGCGGGGCTCAAGGCATCTGAGGTGAGGTCGGCTGGCTGAGTGGAAGAGACCGAGGGGCGGGCCAGGGAAGGGCGTGGGAAGCCCGAAAGCGCCTGTGAGAGCAGAAATGGACTGGCTCGCCCTAGCCGGACCGTATGAGCGGTGGAGCCTAGACGCTGGGGGGCGGGGCCAGCGGCTCCTTGGCGGCCGGGAGGGGAGGGGCTTCAGCGCGCGCCTTCGATAGAAGCTGCGGCGTAACCAATCACTGCGTCTTCTACCTCACCTCCCCCTAAGCCCCGCCTTCACGCCGGGTCCCCCGCGGAGAATGGGCGGGACCTGCTCGTGCTGCTGCCTTGTCTCTGTGTTCCGCCCCGCCCCCGAGTCCCGCCCCCTGCCTGACGCAGGCCGCTTCCTGAGCGAGCCGCTTCCTGACACGATTCCCTCCCCCCTCAGGGCTCTCTCCCGGCGTCGGGCTCTGGGCCGCCACCGCCACCTCGGCTCCTGCCGGCGCAGTCGCCTCTCCCGCCCACCCCTCGCCATGTCCGAGGATCTGTCGGCGGCCACGTCCTACACGGAAGATGATTTCTACTGCCCTGTCTGTCAGGAGGTGCTCAAGACGCCGGTGCGGACCGCGGCCTGTCAGCACGTGTGAGTAGACGCCCCTTCCCTCGTGCGGCACACCGGCCCGCGGCCCGCCGGAGCCCGTGCCCCACACCGCCCGGCCTTGTCCCGGTCGCCTGCTTTCCGCGCCCGGGGGCGGTGTTCGGGCCTCTCGGTGGCGTCTCTTGTCGTCCTCGCCAGGCCTGAGGGGAATCACAGAGAACGTGGAGCCTTTTTTGTTTCTTAGCAACCCTTGTGGAGGCCGGGGCGTTGAGTGCCCGGCCTGGGCCCCGCAGAGGTGTGTGGGCCCGCTAGGCTACCTGCCGTGTGTTTTCCCGGCTTTTCTTGGTTTTTTAGACCCTAGCCCTGTCTATGCGAGAACCACCCTCCCCGCCCCCTATCTAGCCCGTGAACGTTCCCTCAACCCCATCCTTGAGCATATTTAAAAATTCAGTGATAAAACGGTCTAAAATGAGGTAGCTTCCTCTCCCACTCCGAACTGGCAGGATTTCCGGGGCTTGAGATAGCTCCCTTTGTGCTATCATTATGTTTATTATTGCTGGGTTTTAACAAGAATGGAGGCAAGATACCGTTAGAGGAGGTGTTCTGCTCTAGGGATGAGGTAGATAGAACACAAAGGCGCTGGGCTGGGCAAGGTGACTTGAGATAGGTTTTACTTGGTATAGGAAGAAATTCAGTCATGTTCTATACAACCAGTGTCAGTGGGAGTTGGACGCAGACCTTGAGAAGGTATACTACGCGTCTGGCAAACCTGGTTAATGATCAGAGCCCATGAGGAACTTTTTTTTTTTTTTTAATGTGTGTGACAAGGTCTCATGTAGCTCTGACTGGTTTCAACTCACAGTGATCCACCTGCCTCTGGGATTGAAGGCATGAGCTATCAAGCTAGGCTCCCCTGAGGAACTTTTTATAATAAAGATAACCCATTCCTAAGCGCCATTCCAAACTTAGAAATGAATTTTTGGCAGGTGGGGCCTGAAGTTTTGTGTTTTCGAACAGCTGAGAAGAATTCAAGTGATCCTTCTTGCACTTTTTTTTTTTTTTTTTTGGTGGTGGTGGTGGTTTTGTTTTTTCAAGACAGCATTTCTTTGTGTGCCTTGGGTAGCCTAGAACTAGCTCTGTAGACCAGGCTGGCCTAGGAGTAAAGGCCTGCACTGCTGTCCCTCCCACTGGCCCCAGACATATATTTTTTTAAGTGATGGGGCTCTAATTTTTCAAGGTATAGGTAGAAGCCAGGTTAGGTGGTGCTTGGGAGCCTCAGACAGAAAGATTTCGACTTTGAGGCTAGCCTGGTTATCTAGTGATTTTAGGTTGATAGAATTTTGTTGCCTTAATCAAAGGTGTAATTTTTTTGACAATTTTTTTGTTTGTTTGTTTTTCGAGACGGTTTCTCTGTATAGCCCTGGCTGTTCTGGAACTCACTCTGTAGACCAGGCTGGCCTTGAACTCAGAAATCCACCTGCCTCTGCCTCCCGAGAGCTGGGATTAAAGGCATGCGCCGCTGCCGCCGCCGCCACCACTGCCCGGCTCCGGCTCGCATCACACTTTTTTTTTAATAGTTTCCTTTGACTAGCTTTCTTTCTAGACTTCCACCTGCCACTTCTTTATCTCAGTATTTAGCAGACAAAAAAACCTTGAGCAAACCAGAATAAAAAATAAACATAAGAAACCAAACTACAAAAATCAGAAAATATAATATGTAAGAGAATGGATAAAAAAGTGCCCAAAGCAATATCATTCAAAAAAAAATCTATAGGAGTACCATTGAACTCTTTTATGTTGACCATCTACTTCTGGGCATGGGTTAATTTTTTACTGTTCTTCAATCTTCACTAATTCTATGGTTCTCATGTGAGTTAGCTTTTAATGATGAAATAGATAAATTAGTTTTGCTTAACAGAAAAGATTAAAGAAGACTGAGGAAATGGCTCTGAGGTTAAGAGCAATTGCTGTTCTTTCCCAGGACTTGAGTTCAGTTTCTACCACCCAGATCAGGCAGACAACTATTAACTCTAATTTCAGGGAGTCCAACATCTTTGCCCTCTGCAGTATTTGGGCTCATATCCATATCCATACACACAGACACATTTAAAATTGTAAAAAAATCTCTACAAAAAAGATTAATGACAGCCTGACATTCCTTTATTTGGTGCTGATGAGGTGAGCAGAAGCTACAGTAGCTGCTATTGATATGCATGGTAAATTGTTTATGTACCGAATCAGTTCAGATATTTGAGGTCACTGATCTCATAAACTCCATTGTCATTTTTAGCTCCCTCAAAATTCTGTGCATAAAATTCTGTTATATTTCTCTTGTATATTTAAGATGAGGGACTATAATTTGGCTTGACTTCAAGTGATGATATTTTAACTTAGTGTGGACTTTCTTCAGATTAACTTAGTGGACTTTGATATGAACAGAATAGCTCTCTACCTTCACTTTTCCTACAGTTGCTTTGTAGTTCTTGCTGAACAGTGAATTTGAAAAAAAAAGAGGAAAAGTTTTATGTATATGGGAAAGTAGGTAATGTTGGAATGTGGTCTAGATTGACTGGATTGAATGGGGTGTAGAAATTGATTTGTTTTTATAACTAGAATTTAAAATACTCTATTTACTATGTCTTTTTTTCTCACAGAATTGTAAACAAGTTTATATTTTTCTGTAATAATCAGGTTGTGAGTTTGAGGTGGGGCTTACAATTGAGCTTAGTGTCTTAAAGTATGGACATACTCCAGTCTACCAAATTAATTACTTTTTTCTCCTTTATTGAAAATGGATTTTCCCCACCTCAGGTAATATATCCTTATTATAGTTTCTCTCTTTCTCTAATACTCAGTTCCTTCTACCTCCCAACACATCCAGATCCATTTACTTTTCTTCTCACTAGAAAACAGGTGCTGCGCTTGGTGGAGCACTAAGGAGTCAGAGACAGGTGGATAGCTGAGTTCAAGGGCAGCCTGATCTACAGAGTGAGTTCCAAGGATAGCCAGGACTATACAGGGAAAGCCTGTTTTGAAAAACAAAACAAAGCAGGCTTCTAAATGATAATAAAGAAAAGTAATAAATAATAAAACTAACATCAGAATTGGACAAAGCAAACATCTAGAAGGAAAAGAATACCAATTTATGCTAGACAGTGGTGGCCCACACCTGTAATCCCAGCACTCAGGAAGGAGGCAGAGGCAGGTGGATATCATGAGTCTGAGGCCAGCCTGGTCTACAGAGTAAGTTCCAGGACAGCTAAGGCTACACAGAGAAACTCTGTCTCCAAAAAAAAAAAAGGAAAAAGAAAAGGAAAAAAAATAGCAAATTATTTTCTGATTCATAGAGAACATTAAGGATTTGGGTCACTGGGGATCTTGTAGACACTAAAAATAAGTTCTCATGGCCATTTCAATGGCAGGAAGGAGCAAAATCATCATTGCAATTACTTTACCAAAAATATAAATGTCCCTTTAGTCACTATTTATTTCTTCAAATAGGAATTGTCTAAGGCTTTCTATTTAGCACAAGGAGTACTCAGTTTACTTTCTTAGGTGATGATTGATGTCTAGTGGAGAAAACCAATAAATGAGTATTAACTGATATTTACAAGATTTTGGGTGGAAAATTTTATGTTGGTACTAGTACAAGCAAGTATCTGAAATCAGTTTAGGAATATAAACATAAAATGCTGATTTCCTTGATGAAATCACTGATCTGAATTTGTATTTTGGGCATGGTGGTATATATACCTTCATAAGTGGTAAGGAGGAGTGTAGAAGCCAAAGAATATGTGTAGTGGAACTGGAGTTTACATATATTGGTAGGCACTTACAAGGCAAAGCTATTGAATGTTTTCCTAGAAATCAGAGACCTATCTATTTTGGCAGGGGAGCATCATGGTGAGGTTTCTTTCACTTTTAGGAAGTTTATATTAGTGTCAAGTTTCAGGTTGTTAGTTGAGACTAGTAATGTTGACATGTCAGGGAAGAAAATTATTAGAACCTTAAACTAATAGTGATAATGCAGAGAAGAGACCTCTGACAGTTTAAGGATTTTGTATAAGATTTGATGACTGCATATCCAGTAGTTACATGTGTATACTGCATATAGATTTGGAATAAATGGAGGTAAATTTGTTTTGTGTGTGTATTCATTAAGGAAAGTATGTTTTCATTAACTGAAAGCAAGAAGAGAAGAGGTCTTAGACCCAAGAGCTGGCAAATACTTATATAACTAGAAGTAGAGAGAGCTGTACCCTGAGAAGTAGACAAGATAGGAAGAAAACCAGGCAAGACAAAAACAAGCAAAGCAACAATAAAAAGTCCAAACCACAGCAGTGACCTTAAGAGTAATCAAATATAATGCTTTTAAAAATAAGTAAAAACAAAGTGAGGGATGAGGGTATTAGTGCTAAAGTGTTTGCCTAGCATGCACAAGGGTCTGGGTTCAGTCCCCAGCACTGAAAAACAAAGTAGGCCTTGGGTGGAACAGGCCTGGATCTGGGAAGACAGAGAAAGGATAGTAGAAATTTTAAGGCTAGGCTATTGCAACAAAGATCTACCTCAAAACACCGAAATAAACTGGGGATATAGCCCAGTATTTAACATAGTTATCTAGCCTATGTGAATTCTGTTAACCCCTCTCCCCCAAGATTATTAAAGTTGAGGCAGGCATAGTGGTACATCTATAAAAACAGCACTTGGAAGGTTAGATAGGAGGACTGCTATGAATTTGGAGCCAGCATGGGCTACGTAGTAATACTGTTTCTATATATGAAGCAAGTATCCAAAAAACATTTCAGGAGAAAATAGAGTGGGTATTGTTAAGGTTTATTTCTCTTACTTTACTTTGTTATCTTAAAAATCTCAGCCTTTTTAAATTTTTGTTGTTTTGATAATATTTTGACAAAAAGCAACAGGGAAAAAGGGTTTTAGTTGATTTACAACTGCAATCTTTTATTTTGGAGACATCAAGGCAGGAATTCAAAGGATTGCATCCACAGTCAAAGAGACATAATAAATGCACGGAACCTTGCTTGCTCCTCAGCTAGCTGATTATATATAAATTTGCTTGCCAGTTGTTTAGTTTAGTTCAGGGCTACAAACCAGGGAATGTTGCTGTCCGAAATGGTCTGGGTCTTCCTGCATCAGTAACTATCAAGACAATCCTGAAATATACCTACAGATCCAACCAACCTAATCTAGGCAATACTTCAATTGACTTTTTCTACCCAGGTGATTTTGTGTTGTGACAGGTGGTTTGTAAAATATCAAGTAATATTTGTATACTGCTAGAGGTAAGTTCTAATCCAAATGAAAATTTACATTTAGTAACAATTCTGGAAAACATTAGTTTCCTTCCTTTGAGACCCAGTTTTATATAGCCAAGGCTGGTCTTGAACTCCTTATATGACTGAGGCCGTGAATTCTGATTTTCCTGCTCTGAGATGATAAGCACATGTACCAAATTACCAGGCTTTTCTATTTTTGAGATGAAGTTTGAGCTATGTAGCTCTAGCTTATTGGGAACTCACTTTGATTTTTTTAAAAATTTATTTGTTGACAGTTCAATACATACAATAATTTTGTACATTTTCATCTTCAATTACCCTCTCTCATTTCCCTCAAGTCCCTCCAAATCTCTTACCAACAAATTCCCCTTCTATATCTACTGTTCTGAAGTTGTAGGTTCTTTTGATAAGTTGGAATAGTTTAGTAATTTTTTGGTGTGCACCTTTTCCTTCTCTTCCTATCAGGCTTTCTTTTGAAATAAGTTCTGCTTAGCAGATTTATCTAGTCTAGTAAAAGGGAGATAATAAGTTTATATCTGAAGAGGCATGCTTGTGGTTTAAACACTTGTGTTTTTTTTCCTATTTATTGATTTATTTATTATATGTAAGTACATTGTAGCTGTCTTCAGACACCCCATAAGAGGGCATCAGATATCATTGCAGATGGTTGTGAGCCACCATGTGGTTGCTGGGATTTGAACTCATGACCTCTGGAAGAGCAGTCAGTGCTCTTAACCACTGAGCCATCTCACCAGCCCATGCTTGTGGTTTAGAAGGAACAGTAAGATTGGAAATAAAATATATTTATTTATTGGGTGTTTTCCATTTGAATCAGGATCTCTCTCTCTCTCTCTCTCTCTCTCTCTCTCTCTCTCTCTCTCTCTGTGTGTGTGTGTGTGTGTGTGTGTGTTTCTGGCTGTCCATGAGTTTACAGATATCCTTCTGCCTCACCCTCTTGAAGACTGGGATTAAAGGTGTGTGCTCCACCTGTCTTTGTTTTATAGTTTTCAAACACAAATGTAGCTGGGTGTGGTGACACATACCTGTGGTTCTTGGTACTCAGGAAGTTAAAGTTGGATTGCTATGTTTGAGCCTAAGCTTGAGCCTCGGTGTAAGACCCCTTCTTAAAAAAACAAAACTGTAAAGTGGACATGTATAGTTTCATTTTGTTATTGTCTAATCCAGTTATTAGTCTTTTTTTTTTTTATTTTTTTTTTGGCTTTTTCGAGACAGGGTTTCTCTGTGTAGCCCTGGCTGTCCTGGAACTCACTCTGTACACCAGGCTAGCCTCGCTCTCTCGAACTCAGAAATCCACCTTCCTCTGCCTCCCAAGTTCTGGGATTAAAGGTGTGTGCCACCACCTCCTGGCAGCTGTATCAGTTATTAGTCTTATTGCCAGAAAAAAACATAACTTTTAAAACTGAGCTGTACATTTTGAATAGCTTGACTACCTATCCATAATCACTTGTTTGTGTTTCATAATTTTTTTCCTGTAATTAATATGTCACAAATGTTTGGCTTAGTTTCTGTAGAAAATGTTTCCTGACTGCAATGAGAGAAAGTGGAATACACTGTCCCTTATGTCGTGGAAGTGTGACTAGAAGAGAAAGAGCATGTCCAGAACGGGCCTTAGATCTTGAAAATATCATGAGGAGGTTTTCTGGTAGCTGCAGATGCTGTTCAAAAAAGGTAGGGTTATATTATGCAATTGTTTTATTTTCCTGGTGAACATGGCTTTGAAAAGAAAGACATTTCCAGGGTATTATGTTATACACCTATAGTCTTTTCTCAGGAGGGTTGCAAGTTTACAGCTAGCTTGGGCTACAAATTGAAAGTCTCAAAAACAAAATAAACAAGATGTTATTTCGGTTGAGAATTATGTAGAGAAGACCAGAAAGTTTTACATATCAAAAACCTTGATGAATTTAGAGTTTTATTTTATCTTTAAGATTAAAATTTTATTTTTTTAATAAGCTCACAGAGATCTATATACAAAGTCTTTTTTAAAAAAGGTCTACCTAACTCTCAAATGTTAATAATTTAATCAAATAGATTTATGTACTGAAAGAAGTCTCTGGCTGCCCATTTATGTATTTAAGAAATCATGGAATACTTCACAGAAGACTGGTTTTAAGTTTTACGCACATGGGATAATCAGGTGTTGATAACATTGTCTATTTTGGATTTTATTCTACTTGAAGAAGACTAAGTGGGTGAAGAGTGGTTAGACCTTGACTATATCTTTTTGTCTATTAATTATTTACCCAAGTCAGATCTGCATTCTCTCTCTTTGAAGAAGATGTTGAACTGAAAAGGAAGTGAAATGAAGCTGAAAACATAGTGGGATTCTGGTTTCACGTCTCAGAAAAAAAAATGTTCCCAACCTTAACATGGGAACATCATTTTTTTTTTCCTATTTGTAATAGTTAAAGATGTGGTGGCGCACACCTTTAATCCCAGCTCTTGGGAGGCAGAGGCAGGCGGATTTCTGAGTTCGAGGCCAGCCTGGTCTACAGAGTGAGTTCCAGGACAACCAGAGCTACACAGAGAAACCCTGTCTCGAAAAACAAAACAAACAAACAAACAAAAAAATAGTTAAAGACATGCCTAGCACCATGAGGCAGCCTCTTAATACTTATTCTTTTGCATTTGGTTTTCTGAGTGAGGGTGTCAGTTAGCCCATATGGGTGTTGACCTCATAATATAACCGAGGATGACCTTGGACAACTGACTGTTTTGTTTCCACTTCCCAAACGCTGAGACTATAAACATTCACCTCTGTTGCCTGCCTTTTTCTCTTTTGTATTATCATTTCAAAAGTAAAATTACTTATTAGCCCTCTCACCCTCCAAAAGAGTTAATGGAATCTGTATTTTGTGGATCTGATGAACAACAATGTTTTACCTATAATTACTTTTTTTGTTTTTTGGTTTTTTTTTTGAAGACAAGATTCCCTTTGTAGCCCTTGCTGATCTGATTGTGTAGACCAGATTGGTTTTGACGTCTAAGAGAACTGCTTTCCAAGTGTTGTGGTTAAAGTTGTGTGCCACCCTACCTGATACTCATTTTTCATAGGAAACTTTTGGACTTAAATATTTAGTTATCTATCTTTATCTTTTTTCCTATTATTGACAGTATCTTAAATTTTTTATATTCTGTTTTAAAAATTATATTTTAACCAATAATTTACAGATTAAATTCTATCGCATGAGACATCATTACAAATCTTGTAAGAAGTATCAGGATGAATATGGTGTTTCTTCTGTCATTCCAAACTTTAAGATTTCTCAAGATTCAGTAAGGAGCAGGTAAGCAGCATTTATTCTAAAAGCAAATTTTTAATAATTGAAATGAGAATTGCTTAGGGAATTGTATGGTGTGTGTGTGTTTTAACAAATCACACTTAGTATCCTAACTAGAATTTGTCTTCAAAATTTATTAGATATATATAATATTGTATCTTGGAGACCATCTTCATGATATACCTAAGCTTATCTTACCAAGAGCCTTTCTTGGAACAAAAATTATAACTGAGAGTTGAAGACTTAACTGATTTTCTGATGAAAGAATTTGGAAATTAGGAAAAATCAGTTTAAATAATATTTAAATATTGGGATTTTTTTTATTGTTCTCTAAGGAACAGGCTTAGTATTTGAAGGTAATTCTGTTAATAACATTTTAGTTCTTTTCTTAGCTACAATCGTTTAAAGCTTTTTGTGTCTTTTCTCAAATATTCTATTACTGCTGCTGCTACTTTTTCTTCTTACTATTATTTTGAGACTGGGTATAATGTATCCAAAGATGGTCTTGAACTTATTACATAGCCCATGACAGTTTTGAACTCCCGATTCTCTTGGGCAATCCCAAATCTGGCACCAGTGTGTGAGTGTGTGGCTTTTTTTTTTTAATTTTTAAAGAGATTTTTTTTAATTGTTACACCATTTATTACATTTATGTGTGTGTGTGTTTGTGCACTGTTGTGTACGTTTAAAGGTCAGAGGATAACTTGGAGGAGTTAGTTTTCTTCTTCCATATGGATCCTAGTGATTAAATTAAGGCCATCAGCCCCCCCCCCCCTTTTTTAATGAATAAAACAAGGTGCTGGGCTGGACTATATCATGCTGGTCTGGAACTCAGACCAGCCTGGCCTTAGAGAGCTGGCATCAGAGACTCAAGAGTCAATCTGTTGGTGCTGGGATATACCATCACTCCCAGTGATCATCAGGCTTAGTAACAAGTGCTAATACCTGCTGAGCAATCTTCGGGCTCTTCTGTGAGCATCCTTTAAAATTCAGTTTAGATACCTAATTTTTATCAGCAGATCAGTGAAATGTTAACTAATATGAAGTAGAAGTACTTTGATAATTTGTTCTTCTTGTACACCCAGGTACAATATTGAATAGTAACAGAAGCTCAGTAAATACTGTTAAAGCAAATAATAATAATACGATGTATAGCCATTAATCCAGATCAAGAAATAGAGCAGGTTCCTGTGAGCTATGTCCCATATGAACTTCCATATTCCTATAACCACTGTTCTTTCATTTGGATGCTTAATCTCTTGTTTTTCTTTATATTTTGTCATCCTCACATGTATTACTAAATGTTTGCTTCATTTAGAAAATTAACAAGCTTGTGTACAAGTGTGAGCAAACACAGTTGCTTCAGTTTTATAGTAGTTTGTGGAAATCAGTGTGCTAAGATGAACAAATAAAATTTTAATTTCAGTACTTGATCCATACTGCTAATATTTATACTTTAACCACCACCCTTAAGCACACTGGCTAGCCATTTAGTTGTCCTTTTGTATTTGGCTATTTTGCTAACTACTTAGTTGAAATCTCCAATAAATTATTTAGGAATGTTTTCACTATTCTGCAGAACTCTTCAGGTTCTCATTTTACTTGATTTACTATCAGTAGATGAAGTTGTCATTTCCACTCAGTGATTTTTTTTTTTTTTTAACTGAATTCCTCTGCCGGGCGGTGGTGGTGCATGCCTTTAATCCCAGCACTTGGGAGGCAGAGACAGGCAGATTTCTGAGTTCGAGAGTTCGAGGCTAGCCTGGTCTACAGAGTGAGTTCCAGGACAGCCAGGGCTACACAGAGAAACCCTGTCTCGAAAAACCAAAAATAAAAAATAAAAAACAAAAAACTGAATTCCTGTGGATTCTTTCATCCCTGTTCGTTTACTTAGTGTATTTCTGCTGTATTATAAGTATACATCTATTTAGCATTTTTTGCCCGATTTTTCTTAATATGGGGTGTTTTGTAATGTTTTGTTAGCTTTATTCAACACTGTATCTCAGGCTCTCAGCAAAGTTCCTAGAGTGTATTCCATATACAGTCATTGCTTATTGGGCAATATTATATTGTTTTGACTTTTTGATACTCAGTTTCACTGTGTAGCCCTGGCTGATGTGGCCTTGATATGTAGACTATCCTGACCTCAAACTTTGTGATGCCTTTGCTGCTGAACTACTGGAATTACAGATCTACACCATCATACCCTGTACTACTTGTTAAGTGACAATTCCCTACCCTATCCCTCGGAGACAGACCCTGCTGCTCATTTGGCTCCTTAGATTCATTTGGTCAGACAGTGTTTAGTCTTTTTTTTTTTTTTTTTTTTTTGGTTTTTCGAGACAGGGTTTCTCTGTGTAGCCCTGGCTGTCCTGGAACTCACTCTGTACACCAGGCTAGCCTCGATCTCTCGAACTCAGAAATCTGCCTGCCTCTGCCTCCCAAGTGCTGGGATTAAAAGCGTGCACCACCACCGCCTGGCAGAGGAATTCGTTTTTTTTTTTTTTTTTAAACCCCAAAAAAACTGGTGAGCTGGCTTCTGAATATGAGATTATAGGAATCATGGTGCCGGGCAAGAGAAAGGTTTTTTGTTTTTGTTGGTGTTGCTTCAGGGGTTGGGAAGGCATGTCTTGCTCTTCAGAGGACCTGCTCTTAGCACCCACACTAGGTGGGACTCATAACCATCCATAACTCCAGCTTGGATCGATGGGGAGGGGGGAGGATGTCTCTGGCCTCTGAGACCACCTGCACTGTGACACACATCATACAATGATATCTTTAAAAAGAAGCCGGGCAGTGGTGGCACACCCCTTTAATCCCAGCACTTGGGAGGCAGAGGCAGGTGGATTTCTGACTTCGAGGCCAGCCTGGTCTACAGAGTGAGTTCCAGGACAGCCAGGGCTACACAGAGAAACCCTGTCTCGAAAAACCAAAAAAAAAAAAAAAAAAGAAACAAAGAAAGAAAGGTGTTCTCCCGTGGTAGAAGTAGGCTAGTGAACTGGAAAAGAAGTCCCAAAGCCTGCAAAGTGTTTTTATAATATTGACAGTATCAAATTCTGTGACATGTTCATTGTTGGTTACAATTTCTGAATGCAGTGCCTCTTGCCACTGGCTTTCTGGCATATCTTGTAAGTACATATGTCAGGATAGTCTATATGAGAAAAGTGTGCTAATGAAGCCTAGTCTCTTCATTTTAAGGAATAATCAGCATTTTAAAAGTTCATATATTTTGTGAAATCTCAACTTTGGAAGCCACAATCTTCTACTATATCCTAGGTACATGGCAAAAGTTCACAAATATTTTACTTCAACCCCAGGGTTTAAGAATTTAACAAGGAGAGATGGCTTAGTAGTTAAGAGCACTGGCTGTGCTTCCACAGGACCTAGGTTTGAATCTTAGTACCTACAGGAGGGATCACAACCATTTGTAACTTCAGAAACGGTGGATTCCACACCCTTTCTTGGTCTCTACACTACATGCATGCACTGCATAAACTTACATGCATGCAAAACACCCACACACATTTATTTAAACATTAGCAAGGTCCAAGTATAGGATAAAGCAGAATCAGGAGTACTATACTTCTAGACCCTATCTTAGCCCTCATTTCCCCCATCACCCCCAAAAGAACATCACTGAGGAAAACGATTACATAAAATTCTGTGTTTTCTAGTTTACACTTTTATACCTGAATATTGTAGAAGTTTGTGTTTTTGTGGAGTTTTTGTTGAGTTTGAGATAAGGTCTTACTATGAGGTAGTGGCTGGCCTGGAATTCTCTGTAGTCTAGGCTGGCCTCAAACCTATGACTTTCCTGCCTCAGCCTCCTCTGTAATGTATTAAAAAAAAAATGAATGAATAGGAATTCAAACAGTCTTACTTGATTTGAAAAGCAGTGCCATGAATATTTAGTATTTTATGACTACTTGAAGTTTAGATTTTTTTTTTAAAGTATGGATGTTTTTCCTGCATGTGTACCCAGATGTGTGTCTGATGTCTGTAGAGACCAAAAGGTATCATATCCTCAAACTGGAGGTAAATATGGTTGTATGCTGGTAACTGAACCTGGGTCCTCTGCAAGAGCAGCAGATGTTCTTAAGTGCTGAGCTGTTTTCAGCCCTTGAAGTTCTGGCTGGTCATTTTTATTAAGCAGCTCACATTAATGACCTTGATGTGCTTTATTATGTGGGGTATTAATTATTTCTCCCTGTGCTTCTTAAGTAATAGGAATGAAACATCTGCATCTGATAACACAGAAACTTATCAAGAGGATACAAGGTAAAATTTTAAAAATTCTACTTCAGTAAGTAATATTGTTGAATAATATAGAAGATGATTATTATTTGTAGTGGTTAAGAATTTAACTCAGGATTGAGCATGCGTTATACATTGAGCATTCATTATGCTGTTGAGCTATAACCCTGAATCCTCATAATAGATTTCTCTGAGACAGGGTACCTCTTAGGCTGGCCTTAAATTCATGATACCCTTGCCTAAGTCTTCAGAGTGCTTGGAGTTTTAGGCCTGTAGGTTATAACAATAGATTAGTTATTAGACTTTTATTTAAACATTTAAAAAAAATGTATTGTGTGATGTGTGTGTGTGTGTGTGTAATAAACACATATAGAGATCTAGAAGATAGCTTGCAGGAATTGGTTTTCTTTTTCCACCATGTTGGTCCTAGTGACTGAACTCAGGTGGCAAATGTCTTTAGCTGCTGAGCTACTTCTGTAGCCCAGGTACCGTATTTTTAAAACAAACATTTATTCAATTAAAACACTAACTGTAGTGCTAAAAGTTAATGCTTCAGAAATAAAACAAGGCTTAAATAATTGCTGCTTTCAAGAACATAAGAATGAATCTGTTTTCTTGGTAAGATTTCTTCCATTTGTGATTCAGGCAAAAGTGTCAATATTGAACTGTCCTTTGCTTGACATTTAGCGGTATTAAATCCAGTGGTGCTTGATTCTTAGATCTTGTTTTAGGGTTTCTATTGTTACGATAAAACACCCATGACGAATGCAACTTAAAGAAGATAGAGTTTATTTGGGGCTTGTATTTCTAGAGGATTAGAGCCTGAGGTGGTGTAATGAGGCCTGGCTATTGGCAGCTGGAACAGCTCTCGTCTTCATCCACAGGAGGAAGCAGAAAGAAAGTGCACTGTCAATCTTTTGATACTCAAACTCTGCCCAATGACACACTCTCAACAAGGCAGCACTTACAAATCCTTTCCAAACAGTACTAACAAATGGGGACCAAGTATTCAAACATGTGAGCCTTTGGGAGCAGTTGTTATTTAAACCACTACATTCTTGCTATCAGTGTCTTTACTTTTTTCCTTTTCCTTTTCCTTTTGCTTTTTTTTTTTTTTTTTTTGGGTGAATTTTGTTTTAGGTTGTTAATCTGAAGTAGATCAAAGTTAGAATTCGATAGAAATCCTTTTTAAACTATATTATTTTGTGTGCTTTGGGGAGGGGAGTAAAGCACATTCCACTATGCATTTGATCAAGTCAGATAACTTACTTGTCCCTTATTCAGCCTTCTCAATGGTCCATGGAGTCTGTAAAGTTGTTTTTTTTTTTTTAAAGAATTATTTTTTTAAAGATCTATCTATCTGTCTATCCAGATATCTATCTAGATGTCTTTCTGTGTATGTTCAGTGTTAATGCCTGCACACAGAAGAGGGTATCAGATCTCATTACAGATGGTTGTGAACTACCATGTGGGTGCTAAGAATTGAACTCAGTACCTCTGGAAGAGCAGCCAGTGCTCTTAACCATCATCTACCTAGCCCCTGTAATCTTTACATAGGTGCTTTCTGAAATGTTATAGTACAGTTAGAAACTTGAATGGGCACCAGTGACTTGGCATCACATGAATGATTATAACTAAATTTGGATTTAACTTCTTAAACATGGTCCTGTATTTTGTTTGTAATTGTTTGTTTGGAGATAGGTTTCATTAGGTAGGTGAGGCTGATCTTAAACTCATGATCATGCTGCTTCATATTGCAGGGACTTTTGTGGGACCTTAATAAAGACATGGAGACATCTGTATAGTAGAAGTAAGCCTGTTGACCACTTTGCTGGGGTAGTTCTTCAGCTAGCCTGTCTAAACTTAATCTGGCTTGCCACTGTTTCTCTGCCATGTAGCCTGCTCTCTTTGCTCTGCCTTCCTGCTCTCTGTCTGTCTCCTAGCATGCTCCTTCCGCCACAGCACCAGCCACCAGTTCTTTATTATGCAAAAACCACACCTCTTACTCTCTTGTTAGCTTTGGAGGTGACCTTTCCTAGGGCAGCTTGCCTTTCTTTTTCGCTCAGGTGAAGAAGCAACAAATATTTATATTTCCTGCACCACCCACCAACTATTAGCAATTGAGAACGCAGGGGGGTGGGGGGGGTGGGGGGAAACACTGTTGTAGCCTGTTGATACAATGTCTGGGTTATCTCAACAGCTTCAGCCTCTGAATACTGATAGGCACAGACTATCATACCTAGCTTTTTCCCTCTCTTAGTGCTAGGGGGAAAAATGGACTGAAATGAAAAATACTAGTACTGTATAAAGTGAGACTGTAAGAGAGATTCTACTCTGAATCACTTGTTGAATAATTTGTAACTGACTTTAAAAACACAACAGTGAGTTTTAAACAACAATGGGTCAAAAAACAGAAATGACTTTTTTTTTTTAATGTGATGGTTTTGAATTTTAATATATCTCATTTGAATTGCTTTTTAGTTCTTCTGGGCATCCCACCTTTAAGTGTCCCTTATGTCAAGAGTCAAATTTCACCAGACAACGTTTATTGGATCACTGTAATAGTAACCACCTATTTCAGATAGTTCCTGTGGTGAGTATTCAAAAGATTCTTTAAAGCATGTGGTTCCATGTATTTCTCTTTATGTATGCAGAGGGGAAGGTTCTTTATATAAATTTGTATTTAAATGATGAACATGGTAGATTTTTGCTAATAGTTGATTATAATGCAAGAATCCGATTCAAAATTTGATTACCTCATGTAATCAAGATAATTATTGTAAGGTAATGTAGACTAGTCTAGGAAAGAATGAAAAGTGATAGTCATTGCTATGTTGTGGCAGAACCAATTCTGTTGGGTACTTTATTCTGCTGGATGCAGAAGACTGGATCCATTCATGAGAGAATCTGCTGCAGAAGATAATGTATGTATGTATGTATAAGTATAAAAAAGCTGGGATGGTCAGGGTAGCACATGCATTTAATCCCAGCACTGGGACGAGGTAGTTGGCACCAGCCTGATCTCCAGATAGTTCCAGGTCAGCCAGAGCTACACATTGAGACTTTGTCTCAAAAATCAAAGTGTAGATTAAAACCAGTAGATAGTTTTAATTGTATCTTTGAAGAAACTTTTATATGAATGTATAAGGCAAGAAGTCAGAGTTTTTATTTTGATGCATACTTGTCTTTTTTATGTCATTTTTTTAGGGTAGATTTATGTAGATTGCAGGGTTATAACATCATGGTCCCTGAAGAACTCATTTTGAGCATGTATTTTATAGATAGTGATTTTTAACTCTAGACAGTGGAAGAGGAGATATTAAGCTGGAAATTTTCTTTTATTTCCTTTTCCTTGCACTTGCCCCAGAAGCATCCTATTGTTAAAATACATCTTCAGCCTCACCCCCTTTAAAGATTTATTTATTATGTATACAGTATGCATAGATGCCTGCAGGCCAGAAGAAAGCACCAGAGATATGTGGTTATAAGCCACCATATGGTTGCTGGGAATTGAACTCAGGCCCTCTGGAGGAGCAGCCAGCATTCTTTTTTTCCTCTTTTTCTTTTTTTATGGTTAATAATCTTATTTTATTTATTCACTTTACATCCCACTTACTGCCCTCCTCTCCCTGGTGTTACCTCTTCCCAATCCTTCCCCCATCTACCCCCTCCTCTTCTCTGAGAGAGTTTCTCCCTACCTTGCAGTCAGTGCTCTTAACCTCTGACCAACTCTCCAGTCCCCCTTTTCCAGCTCTTTAAATTTTTTTTTCTGATAAATATTTGTGATGAAGTCTAACTTAGTTGCCCAAGCAGACCTTGAAGTTATTCTTCCTGCCTCAGCCTCAGGAGGAAGTGGTTCTATATATTTCTCTACATGTATACAGAGAAAAGTTGTTGATTAAAATTTGGATTTAAGTTATTCATACAGTATATTTTTGTTAATGATTGATGACAAAATGAGACATTAAATTTTTATTACCTCACATAAAGGGATTTTCTTCATTAATATTGTGAGGTAAAGGTAATGTAGACCAGTCTACAATAGGACTAGGGGCTACAGGTTTGTGCAACAACAACCAGCTTCTTCAAAAATAAGAAGTAAAATGTATTAATAACATTATAAGCCACTTCTCTTTTTAGTGAATATACTAGAAAAATGTGTGAAAAAAATTCCCAGATAACTTTTTTTTTCAATTACTGCAACCATTCATTAGGATGGAAGGGGTTAAATAAGTATATTATCAAGAAGTATGTGGGAAGTCTTCATTTTTAAGACACCATGCTTAGTTTTATATTGAATTATGTAATTTGCAATATACATTCTGTATATATTTTTTTCTGCCTAACATTCTGTGTATTGTCATCTTTGGTTAGAATCCAGTTATTAAAGTTTCTTTTTATGTCATTTTAAGTCTGTCATCTAGTCACTTTTAAAATGTACTTCATTAAAACTTTGAGTATATAGTTTAAACTTTATAGTTTGCTCCATTTTTTACATATAAATGAAATCAAGCTAGTTATAATTCTTTAATGGTTACTAATTAGATCAAATAATATATGTTATACATATGGTAGGTAGTTAAAAACTCATTACATTGATGTTAGTATAGGTTGCATATGATGTTTTTTAGTCATATAACTATAGAGATTTAAGTGATAGAATGTCCATGTTCTCTCTTATTAGTGTCATTTATCTATGGTATTTTGCTTGGGAAATGATGTAGTCATGGGATTTGGCTTTTAGAAATGATTGTAAGAAGCACATGGTGGCACATGTCTGAACTCCCAGGGCTTGGAATCACAAGTCCAAGGTCAGCCTGGGTTATATATATAGTGAGACTCTGTATCAATCTCTGTATACCATCCAGTGCTTTTTGATTTCAGTCATACCTTAGAGACATTGTAGATTTGAGTACAGATCACAGTATTAAAGTAATTATTGGTGAGGGCCAGGCGTGGTGGTGAATGCCTTTAATCTCAGCACGTGGAAGGCAGAGGCAGAAGGATCTCAGTGAGTTTGAGCCAGCTTGGTCTAGATAGCAAGCTCCTAGGATAGCTGGAACTACATGAAAGACCCTGTCTCAAAAAGCCAAAAAATAAAGAATTGATGTGAATTTAACTATACCTTTTTTTGAGTTTTTAGTGAATATCCATGTTAAAATTAGACTGTATATACTGTGTCTGTTAAGTATGCAGTAGTATTATGTTTAAAGTATATATATATATTATCGGAGTCAAATGCTTCATTGCTAACTAGTGTTAATGGTTATTTGAGCTATTGGAACAATGGTGTCAAATAGACACACTGGGTAGATACAGATTTTCAATTTTTAAAGAAATATGATATCTGCAAAATGCAGCAAACAGAAGCACAGTAAAGTATACCTGATGTTTTCAGTAACATGAGCTTGTATTTAATGCTCTCAATAATTATATAATGTTTCATTATTTTTGTTATTTTTTTATTTAAAACAATCTGTTTCTCATAGACATGTCCTATTTGTGTGTCTCTTCCTTGGGGAGATCCTAGCCAGATTACTAGAAATTTCGTTAGTCATCTAAATCAAAGACATCAGTTTGATTATGGAGAATTTGTGGTAAGTGAGTTCTTCAAGATTAAGAAAGTTTATTTAACTCTTTCAATCTGGATTTGAATTTTCAGGCAAGTTGTGGAGTCAGACTACTTGGTTGGATAAAGAGCAAGTTGCTATATTTTTAGTAGTAACATTGTTAAGCTTTGTGCAAGTTCTGAGAATTGAATTAATTGTTTATACTACAGAGATAATTACTGAAAAAATAAACCCCTTAATGCAAAATGAAGGTTTGAGCAAAAATTATTTAGAATTAAGAGAAATTATACCTCATTGAAAAGTAAAATTGGTATAACCTGTGTGGGAAGATGTGTTTCAAATACAGAGTAAAATACAGTAAGCACATGAGGCACAATTACAAACCAAACCAAAGAAACCCATCAAAACCCAGGTTGTCCACTTAGGAAGGACAACAAGGGCCCTCAGATCAAAATGGGCCAGTTTCTTCTTTTCATATTCATGATAATTTTCCCTTTATTAAAATTGTAAAATTATACTTTATTTGGCTATGTGTAGTTAAGGTCTTATTTAATACATGATTAATTCCAGTAAAAGATAACTGATGCTTGTTTTCCTGTTCAGGTAAACACAGGCATGCATAATTTTTGTTTTTATGGAATTTGCAGTTTTAGTCTACTACTTTGGAATAATTTAAATGTTCGTAAAATTTACATGTGCTGCTTAGTGATTTTTAGGAAGTAATTGTATTTTACTATTATTAAGTTTCCATTTTAAGAGCAGTATCTGGGGGGCTATATTTAGAAGAGCAAAATAGTTTTTTTCAACCATATTTTAATCTAATTTTTTTGTCTTACCTTGCTATAGAAAATGGTATTTCAGTTGTCAAGTCAAAGTCTTGATATCTTTTAAAGCTAACCCATGTGACATAAAATTGACAGCAAAATAATGTTTTTTTAAAGATAAGGTTTTTGTTGTTGCTGTTGTTTTGCCTGGTGGGTTTGTTTTGGTGCTGAGGATTAGACTCAGGGACTCAGTACATTCTAAACAGCCATTCTACACTGAGTACTTGGTACTAAACACCAAGTCCTAAAGAATCACTTTATAATTTAAAGCTGTGTTCCATGCTTAGTTCCATGCTGTGGTTAAGAAGCTGTTATTCAACTGTTAATTCATTAAATGTTTATTTTTCTTAAAATTACTTTTCCTTCAAATAGAAATGTTTTGTAGAAGTGATATATATTTACCATATTATTAGTTTTAATTAAGTATAATTTTGGGTAGTTTAAAGTATCCTCTGCTGAGCAGAATAGTTATTAGTTATTACTAAATAATAATAGCTGAACTTATAATTTTTAAAATTCATGTATTGAAACCTTATTTTTTGTTACATTAATTTTTGAGATGGGGTCCCATTATGTCCATGCTGGTTTCAAATTGCTGGGCTCAAGGTGTCCTCCTGCCTCAGGTTCCTGAGTGGCTGAGAATATGGCATATACCATGGTGTTCAGTCTTACATTTTAAAGCATACTGTACATAAACTCCCTTGTATGCAAATGTATATGAAGATGTGTAATACATTAGATAAAATTGAATAGTTGATGATTTTCTTGTTGAAATGTTACCTTTTTTTTTTTTTTTTTTTTTTATAAAGAATCTTCAGCTAGATGAGGAAACCCAATATCAAACTGCTGTGGAAGAGTCTTTTCAAGTAAACATGTGATGTGTATAGACATCTCTGCCTCCTTGCAACCTACAAGTGCCATCTTTAAGGAGAAGACATGAAGTCACCGTTTTCAGTAATTTGCTGTGCATATTAATAAAAATAATAATTCAGTCTACTGTATTAGGCTTTTAATTGAAAATTAAGGGTGGGCCACCCTAATTCCATTCTCTAGACAGTTACGGTAACAGCATGGAAAGGGTTGTATTTCATTTGTGTGGCAAAAAGGGAATCTCTGTTGTCTTTTTTTTTTTCCTTGTATTACATATTCTGAATGTTTCATTAAGTTGTTTTTGATATTTGATACAGTTCCTTCTATTTAGTACAGAGATAACAGCAAATTCTGAACGGTGTGATTCCTATAACTAATAAACCTGAGCCATTTGTCAGAACTGCAGATTGGAAACTTGAAGTGCTAAGTGGGATAATCCAAAGGGATTTTTAAAAAGTATATAGATTCTAGCTGAGGAATTCAACAATAAGAAAATTGTATTTATATATTGTTTAGTATTTTTGAGGACTAGTGAGCTTTCTTTAATAGTTTTTACTTTGAAAGTGTATTGTACAAATGTTTCTTCTTTTGCTATTAGAAGAACCTATCAAGAGAAGAGAAAAAGTTTTCATTGGTGGTTAGTTTGTTATTTCAATCTAGGTTGAGTAATTTGTAAGCCTAAATGTGTTATCCAACAGTTCTTTGTAGTCAGTATTTCTCACTAGCTGATGAAACTTTTTAGCCAGTGAATGATACATTCAATTAGTTTTTTAAAAATCCAAAGTTGCAAATGTATGTGGATATGTACATAGACTTTTGCATGTATATATACACATATATATCTTTGCCTAGAGTTTGTCAGGTTATGTATAGAATTTCTATTAAAGAGTTTTAATAATGGACAAGCAATATAGGATTGAAGTATTTATCTCATTCGTTTAAATTTTTGTATGTTACCAAGTTTTTAAAACAGTAAGCCAAATACTACGTGGTACAGTTGGCTGTTATTACACCTGAAAAATGTGCTAAATGGTGCTTACTTGTTGTGTTTGAAAATGATGCATAGCTCCTGTGTCGTGAGAAATTTTACCAGCTACTGTTTCACTACATTTTAGTCAAGACAAAGTTTGTTCATAATCTTTGGTATAAAGTATTGTAGAGAAGGCCAACTCATAGAGTAAAGGGTGAAGGGGAAATTCTGACATTCCACGCTAACATAACACTGTTATGTTTTCTTTAAAATAACTAAATGCAAAAGAAAATCTCTGAAGTAGTTTGCTGCTAATATATACATATATTGTAAAAAAGGTATATTTTGATTTTCTTAATACCCTTGTTGTCTTTTCTACAATGAACATTTTTTAACTTGATTTAATAAAAATGTTAATTTTGGATGTGCAGTTTTGTAAAAACCTTTTTCAGTTAAACAGTAATGACTATTTATGTTCAGTAATACAGACTCAGATGAAGCCATACATCTTAATGCCTTTTTTCTGTTTCTTGAGCGTGATGTTTACTGTGTTCTCTAGCACTGTTGACATACAAGAGTGTAATTCTAGGAACTCTTTAAAAGGAGACTTCTATCCACAGTTCTCCAGTTTAAAGCAATAACTTGGGCACTTTTAAAGTTTTATTTAGCCAGTGTGTTTCTAAATCATCCTGGGCTGTACAAACTTAAAGGGAAGCTTATATTAGAGATCATTTTGGAGACCTGTTTTGAAGTCTTATGGATGAGTTAAATATTAATATATCAATAGCTTTTTCATGAGAATTATCTTTTTTTTGCATTAGTAACTTCTTGAGTATGAAGAAAAACTTTTAAATTCTTCTTTTGTCAGTGGATTAAGAACAAAGATTGACTTTATAATTCATGTGTGGAAAACCCTCAGTAGTCTTGTTTAGTAGCTATCAGGCTAAAGGAGAGGAGCTGTGGCAATATGCTGACACATCAGTTTCACAGTACAGTGAGGAAAGCCACTTTTCTCCTTCAACTTAGTTTAGTTTATGTCCAGAAATATGGTGTTAATTGAGATGTATTGCTTTATTTTTCAATTAAAAATGGTTTTCTCCTACTTGTGTGTCTTAATAAAATTTGTCCTTAGACAAACAGTCTTGTAAGACCCTGCCAAACATGTAGGAGATTTTCCATTATTTTCACTTGAAAAAGTTGTCAGGCTGTTAAGTGCTGATATTATTACTATACATTGGGTTGAGATTTTATATACATTGAGTATAAGATTTTGTTTTTTTTTTTTTTATATTTCCAGTGTTAAACATCTGCATAAAACCATTTCATAAGCTGGGTGGTGGTGGCGCACACCTTTAATCCCAGCACTTGGGAGGCAGAGGCAGAGGCAGGTGGATTTCTGAGTTCGAGGCCAGCCTGGACTACAGAGTGAGTTCCAGGACAGCCAGGGCTACACAGAGAAACCCTGTCTCAAAAAAAAAAAAAAAAAAAAGAAAAAAAAGAAAAACATTTCATAAAGTGTCCATTCAGCAAGATATTTCAAGTCCTGTTAGCATTGAAGCAAAAAGTCAGCTAGTTGCTGACACCTTTAATGTGGAGAAGTCAGCTATACTCAAGATAGGGCTCCAAGAATATTTTGCATACATAGCATCTCTGCGTTGGGTTGCTTTTGTTAAGTATCACCGTCTTCACTGAACCATTCCTTCTATAGGAATTGTAGATCTTATATTCAAATAGACTCCCATCAAAGGAACACTATTGTAGCTTATGTAGAAAAGATATGTTCTTGAAAACACCCAAAAATCCATGTACAGTTTATAGTGGAGGTGGATATTTTGCACGATTATACCTATTCTGTAGTTTCAGTTCTACAGTATGATTGGGGAAAGGAGAATGGAAACACCATAATAGGTTGTATATTGAGAGCTGTAGAGATGGCTCAGTAATTAGGAGCACTTGCTCTTGTAGGGGACTTGGGTTTGGTTCCCAGGACTCAAGGTGGCTCATAACCATCCATAACTCCAGTTCCACGGCATCTGTAGATATTACGTATACATGGCAGGCAAAACATACATACACAATTTTAAAAGGTCATATGTTAGTAAAGGGGATAGAGGGTTAGGGATGTGACTCAGTGGGTAGTTACAAAGTACTTGCTGATAAAGGTTTGCAACTAGAGTTTGATCCCTGGAACCATATGCTAGAAGGAAAGAATTAAGTTCCACAAAGTTGTTCCTTGACCGCCACAGTAGTGTGGCAAACAAACACCCCATCATTTTAATGACAGATACAAGGGCCTTGTGAAAAGGCAGTGAATAGCCCTCCCCAAACCCAACAGCACTTGTAAAAGATAATTGTGTATTCCAGTCCTACTAAGGTACAAACCAGTGTATTTCTGATTTTTTTTCTGGACACTGAAACATGTGCTCTACAGCTAGGGTACACTTTCAACTCCTGTATAAGGGATCCTTAAGAGTGTGGTAATGAGTTCTGAGGAAGCTTGGGCAAGGGGTTGCTGCAATGTCAAGAGCACCCTGAGCTAGATCCTATCTTAACCCCTTCCTAAGTGTATTAGACTATATTTTCTGAGCATAGTGGCTCATGTCTAAACCCATTGTTGGGGAGGTGGAGACTATCCTGTTCTCAAGATCCTGTCTTTAAAAAGGGGTCAGCACTTGTAAGACAGAGGCAGAAGGATTAGGACTTTGAAGTCAGTCTAGTTTTTAAAAACTGCATGCTTGTGTGTGGACAGATTGTTGCTTTCCCAGAGGATCAAGGTTCAATTCCCAGCACCTACATGTCAGCAAACAGTCACCTATAACTAGTTTCAGGGCATCTGATGTCCCTGCTCACCTCAGCAGGTATCAGACATGAATATGGTGTAGTCTGCATGCACATAAAATAAAAAAACTTTAAAAAATAATGGTCGTGGTAGCAGTTTGAGAGATGGAGACAGGAGAATCAAGGCCTTCCCCATCTATATGAGGCAGAGAAAAGATGCTGTGTAGTTGAAGATGAGTAAAGTACATGAGGGAGTGAGTGTGGATTCAAGACTCATGATTAGTTGAATTACTATTAAATGGAAGGGGGTGGAGCAAGAGACACTGGATGTGAACAAGGAAATGACAGGTCCATGCATGGGCATTGGTGGACATGACCAGTATCCACAAAGGGAACAAAAACATAAGTGACATATTCACAGTAAGTTTTGGCTTTTTTGTTTTGCAGGTGTGTGTGTATGTGTTCATGTATCTCCCTGAAATAGCTTGTCTTTTGCTCAGATTAGAAATGTGGAGTTGTAAGCTTCACTTTGTTCACAAGATCTTCCTCTGTAGCCCAGGCTACCTAGAACTCGAATCCTGTCTCAGCCTCTTGAATACTGGGATTGTAGGCACATTCCATAACACTTAACTAAAGTGTTAGGTGTTTGTGGACATTTTAGTGCACAGTCTATCCTAGTTTTGGGGATGCTGTTTATAATGAAAAACAAAAAACTAGCTGAAGAAAGGTACAGATGGCTTGACAATGCTCTGGTGTTTATTCTGGTGTACCTGACTTTATAACTTTGTTTATATGTCTTGTCAACAAAAGATGTGTAGGGGTGTGTGTGTATGTGTGTGTGTGTGTGTGTCAGAGACAGAGGAAGAGATGGGGGTGGGGGGAGAGAGAGAGAATTTGGCATTTTCACGCATACGTTTTAGACAAACCTTTCCCCTCCTACACCCCAACCCACACTTAAACTCTTCTACCACCAGTAGTCCCCCTTTGATGTATGTTTTACTTAAAGCCTCTTTACCTTTCCTCCCTCTACACCCCTTTCTGGTTCCTTGGTATTTACATTCACTTCCACACAAACAAACTAGAAGCTAAGTTCCATGTATGGAAATGAAACATGCTGTGTTTTGAGTAGCTGGGGATAAGGTCCTGCCTTAAGAGTCTTAAGAATGAGACTGCATTGTGGCTGTATTTAATTTTATGTGAGTACACTGTTGCTCTCTTCAGATACACCAGAAGAGGGTATCAAACCCCATTAGAGATGGTTGTGAGCCACTATGTGGTTGTTGGGAATTGAACTCTACCTCTAGATGAACAGTCAGTGCTCTTAAGCACTGGGCCACCTCTCCAGCTTGAATTGTAGCTTTTTTAGCCCCACAAGAGGTCAGGAAACCTTGAGAATAATAAATTTTTAATTCCCCAGGGAAGGAAGTTGGGCTTCTCAGAGGGAGCTACTGACAGTGGGTCTTTAGTCAGTGATAATCCTGAACCAGGGCTGAGTCATCTTCTGAAACACCTGGCCAGAGGAGATAAGGCAAGAACTGAGCTGGTTTCCAAAATTCAAGGTCTCACCAAATAGAACTAACATAGCAGCCAATCAGAATTATACTAATGTCACTGCTTTGTCCCCTATCAATCATATTAAAGGTTACCTAATCCTGTAAAATTCCCCTAGCCCCACATAAAAGGGGGCCTATGAGCTCCTTGATCTGTTGCCATTTTGAAGAATGGTTGACTCCACATGCTATTTCTGCAGAATAAACACTCCTTGCCTTTGCATACTATTTGAGTCTGGGTTCTTCCTTTAGGGATTCTTGGAGCCTAATACCCCAAGGTTGGATGCTTTCTGGCATTTGATGTTTTGAAATGGCATTGAGTCTCAGAAGCTTGTGTCATAGCAGCTATATAGCCATGATTCCCACTTTAGTAATACAGCCACATGAAGTCCCTATAACTGAGAGGTTTGTGAGAGTTACAGAAATCCTTGCAAATTGTTTGCTACTGTATTAGGATTAATTGGGTCTCCAGCTTTTTTTTCTGTCAGAAGTCTGGACCCAGCCAGGCTGAGAGGGAGAAATGGGAGAGGCATGTTTCCTTACCTTCCTGACTTGGTTTTCTGCATGCCACAAGAATCTCACATATGCGTTGCTAGTCCCCAGTGCACTGCCTCAGGCACTCTGGTTAAGATGTATTAGTTCTTTGCTATGTTCTCTGAAGTATGTGTGAGATAAGTGATTTTCTGATGTTACATTGAGTAGCCGATTTTCAATTTTGTGTTTACTTTTGGGCTTCATGGAAATTATATTCAGATTCTTACAAATGCCAGGCAAGCATTCTACTACTGAGCCATACCGTCAGTTGTAAGCTAGTTTTCATTTTATCATTTTGTGTGTGAATGTGCCTGTGAGTCCCATGGCATGCATATGGAGGTCAGAGAAAAGCCTCAGGTATTGGTTTTCAGCTCACTCTTTATTGTTCACCTCTTATGTGACAGAATTTTCCTGGGTAGACAACACACGTCTGTTCACCCCAGATAGAGAACCCACAACAGAACAAAGTATGGATACTACCAAAACCCAACTTGGTGAACCAATAAGTTTTATTGAAGTTACTTAAAATGTAACTTAAAATGTGTAGGAGCACAAATGGCTCAAGCACAGCTGCATTACTAAGGTCCGCCCCAGCGTGGGACTCACTGCTTTCCCACAAAACTTGGAACCTAGAGCACACTGCACAGCCTACAGTTAAACAGGCTGAAGAGTATCCTTTCTAAGAGACTCTTAACTGCTTTTAGGCACCTTAGCTGGTTTTGCTTCTTCTAGATAGCTAGTCTGAGCTCAGAGTCTCTTTGCAGCTTTTCTCCTGAGAATGTTTGTTTCTGTGTCCTACTAGTCTCGGGGACTTGCAGCTTTTTATTGCTTACTCTGGCAGGGAGTGGCATAGTCAATCTAGTCAGTTTCAGGGACTTCCTGGAGCTATTTTTTTGTTTGTTGACCTTCTTGCTTAAAAAGCTTTCACTGAAGGATGGAATATTTCAATTTCAGAGGAAAATGTTACACAACACCAATGCCAGGAGAGCTAACCTTCAAGCTTCTGGGGATTCTGCTTCCACCTCCCATCTCATTGCAGGGTCATTGGGATTACAAATGTGCCTCCACTGCATGTGGCTTTTCTATGAGTTCTGGAGGTCCAAACTCAGGTCTTCATCCTTGCATGACAAGTGCTTATTTACTCACTGAGCTGTCTCCCCAGCCTAGAACTATTTTATTTTTATTTTTTTAAAAAATTTATTTATTCATTTAATGTATATAAGTACACTGTTGCTGCCTT